ACCACTAACTCCCCTGCTCACAGTTTCTCAAGAAAATATGATAAAATGCTAATGTTTGGAGGAAGAGAAGAGTAGACATATGGACACATTTTGCATCTCATGTAAAAAATAAGATTCTTTGTAAACCCTGTGAAGCAACTCTCAACAGTAAAAACACAGCAAGCTTCAACACTTTATATGTTAGAGAACTAAAACAACTTTTGATTTAGTCTACTGTAATCTTATGATATTTACTCAGTTAAATCCAGACTACCAAAATAATATTGATGCCTAAATTATGACAAAAAATGACTAAATTATGACTTAAACTAAAAACTTAACACGTGCGTACCTTTTTTCTGAACATTTTCCTTTCCAGGAGCTGGCAGGTTGTCAAAGCAGACAAATGGGATTTTTGTGAAATACTCAATGAACCTCCATTTTCCTGATCTCTGCAAATCTGCAACACCAAACAATGAGCGAAAAATGCTGGGAATGTTTCCGAAGTCATCCCAGTATCTGAATGAGGAGTTGCCACAATCTCTCTGGCGAATTTCAGGATGTGAAATGACGCCTATCCACGCTCGATCCCCATTTGGCAGCAGCCTTTGCAAGTGACTGTCAGGTATTGAATAACTGGCCATGTCTGTGAAGTTCTCCCTGCAGTACCTCAGAGCTCGGAACCAGTCCATGCTTTCATTTACAAGAACATATTGAGGACTCTGTGAAGTTCCTGCAATTAGAAATGGTAGAGGATCAGGTCATGTTGAATTTTCTGGGTAAATGAAAATGAATCAAAACAGTCTTTATTGGAAAAGACAATGCTTTTTCTCACCATTGTAACAGATGAATGGATGTTCCACTGAGCAGTTGGAATACCACTGTCCACTCACTGAAAGGCTTTGACAAAAATAGGAAACTAAGAAAGGTTCACTTTGAATTTGTTTTTTCCATTTCCCGGAGTCATCATCATTCTGAGATGCAGAACGCCGTTGTAAATGAGTGTAAACACCAATCCAGACCTCAGAGTTGTAACCAGCAGATGAAACTGTATCGATAAACTGGTTCATTTCTTCACTGTTTTCAATGCAGGCCAGGCCTACGTAGTTCTTTCTGCAGTAGCTCTGAGCCTCATACCAAGTAAAAGACTCATTAACAAAGTGGTACAGACGGCATTTGGAGAGGACGAGCCACCCTGTGAGGAAAATATGAATCATGAACATCTCTCAACATGTAAGCTGGCTGTATTACAGCATATCAGAGCAATAAGCACAGGCAAAGGGAGACAAAAGAATTCACTGACCTGAGAGATACAAGACACCCAGCAGGATCTTCACAATCATCTTGCTGCTCTGTGGACTGGAAGAGGAAAGTCTGGCTATGTAACCAAAATGTAGGTACATTGTTATCATCCTCTTTCTGCGAAATGCAATTTTTCTGTTTGACTATGCAAAATGTGTTACAGGAATTCCTTTATTGAAATATTTACTTAACCAAATATTTAGTCAACTTGGTTTGTTGAAAAATGTTCAAAGTTCATATATGAAGCTTAAAGTAAATAAAAGATTTTAAAGTAG